AATTTTGGGTTAGTTTTATTAATTTACACTGAAAGTGTAAGTGATCTTTTTAAATAAAGTGTATGCCAAAATTATTGAAAGATATTATTAGTTTTTAATAGTCCACTTATCAATATAGAGCGGAAAGTCCTCTTTGCCTAATAATTTTATTAAAGGGGTATACTTACAAGTGGAAGTTTCATTGAATTTAGGACTCCAGTTGTTGCTTTTAGACTTTGTCGCAATTTCCGCTTCTTGTCAGCGAGATGTGGCCCTAGATGTTTACTTCAATTGAACGGACGGAACATACCACTGGCTATCACCCACTTTAGTCGTTTGCTGCTACCACTGAAATTACATTTGAACATCATGGTAGAAAAGACATTGATGGTAATCATTGACCACATTTCTTTTTTTTTTCAAAGTTTATATTTTTTAGGCCCTTACCTTTGACAGTGGATTTTATGTTCGCCAGTGCCAGGGTGAGTGAATAGAATCAACTTGTAGACTTATTCCCCTACGCTTCCTTCTTCCCCACGCAGCATCTGTGAAATATAAAAGATTTTCAATTATTAGTCACCGTATAGTATTGAAATCGTTAAAACACCTTCTTACAAATTACTGTCAATCTCAAATACTTTAAATTACCTTGATTCTGTTGACTGGTTACAAAGGTCTAATCAATGTGTTCAGTTGTCTGCGTGTAAAGACTGAGTGCGTACTTAGGACTGCAGTTCCGGACTTTTCTCGAGGAAGGTCTTCTTCAGGCCGTTACCTCCTGCAGGGAAAGTAGAGCTTGATGGTATCTAGGGCGGCGTCAAGGACTGCACACTTTTTGGAGTTAAACTCTTTTCACTGATAAATGCTGTTGTTTAAAAGGACAATTGATTTAGTAAAAATTGAACAAAAAAGTCTTCCCTGTTCGATAAGTATTAATGAGGAAGTCTATTTGTTTTACAATCCATGTATCTATCTAGCTATTAGATATTAAGCCTGCATACCTCTTTAGAAATATCCATGACTCCTGACAGCGCATGCTTTACACCTGTTTCCCCAACCGTGTTTTTAAATAGTTGTGTCATGTCCTCTATTTTGGCATTTGCTGCCAATTTTTGGCATTATTTTTAGATTTTTAAGCATCATCTGAAGAAGTAGAAAAAGTTTTTATTTAAAATGTTTAATTTCTAGATTAAATTAAACTTGATTCTATTTATTGATTTTCTAAATTAGATCTGATTTGATTTTTGGGGTTTTGCAATTTTAACAGAATTTTCTACAAAATTTGTAATAATATTGCTTAAATATATTAAGACGGTTTCTTTTTATTCTGTGTTCATAAATCATACCGTTTTATCAGTCATCGGCGAAGCCTACAGTCTTTTCTAATATCTTCATCACAACCTTCCACAATTCCTTAAGCGGGTCGTTTGAGAACAGTCTTTTCACAGGACTCGGCGTAAAATCGGGGGAGAACCATCCTAAATAGATAAAAAAATTGTACATTTTTTAAATTGGGAATAAACTCTAAAAAGCCGAAGAACAGTGTCGAACGAAAGGGTACTCCTTGGTATCCCGGATTTTAACAGTATATAAGTTTCCTTTTTATTTGATGAGTTAAGCAAATGCATAACCTGCTACGCATTAAGAGTGGATACTGATTTACAAGATTATACACCGCCATGCTAATCTTTCGTTTTCACTCAACTTATTTCTACTGCACAGAAGTCCTCTTACAAAAAGGTCACGCTCAAAATTCGAATGCTAGTCTGAACGTGATTAAAGTACTGGTCTTCTGTTAAGGACTTATTACATACCAATATTCCATTAGTGGCCTCACACTTCATCAGCCTCATGATGAGCTGGTGGTTGTGGCGCTCCAGGTGCTCCACCTCCCCCGACTTTCTGCAGTAGTTCCCCAAGTTTTTTTACACTCGCAGTTATACGGGTCTCCAAACTGAAAGAGGAATAAATACTTGATATTCAAATTGTGAAATTGTTGTAAAGGTTACCTAATAACTGCATCTATCTGAAAAAAAAAAAGAATGGTCGTGAGTTTGTTTGGCATTTTTTTTTCATAAGGCTCAACCCCTTGCAAACGGGTGGATCGGTCCAGGCATATAATGGATAGATTCGTTTTGCTAAAATTTTACAAAACAGATTGTTGGTATTTTTGTGTCTATGATTTTACAGTCGACGTTAAAAGACAATTTCAATATATATTTTTTTTTATTTAAAGATGTTTAACCTTTTTTTTTTTTTTTTTTTTTTTTTTTCCGTGCGGAAATCCCCTCGGATACCACCTGTCGGTGGCATGTCGGACACGAACCGACTAAAACCGCACGCCTTCGCCGGGTACTAATAGCCGGGGAACCAGGTATACCCTAGAAAGGAAGGCCCTGGTGCCCCCGACATACCTCGGGTCATCTACAGACGAGTAGACGACCCCCGCCCCGTGTGGGAACCCCATGTTCCCTGTGCTCCCTGGAAGCGAGCGCGCTTCGCAACGCGCTCGCCGCCACCCCGGCCTGCTTCTGCTAGGGTGACAGATGGCCTCACCTGTCACCCCCAGGCCTGCGCTTATGGAGGACGGAGGTCGTTCTGCGACCTCCGGCGCCTGAGTGCCCTGCGCTGCCTGGCCCGTGCCCGGGCCTGGCGGGCCGGGAGAGTTCTAAACCTCTCCCGGTCCCGCTCCGCCGTCTCCTTCGCGAGCATAACTTGCTCGCAGAAGGAGACGGCAGAGTTCCACGCACTCTCGCTCCGCACGATAGCTGCAATCAGGCTATCGAGCGAGAGAACTCCCACTCCGATGGCCCGCCACGAGGTCTCGCCTCTGCTCAACCCACGCCGGGCACTCTGCCAGCGTGTGGAGAGCCGTCGTCCACGGTCTGGCCATCGCAGTGGTGGCACTCAGGCCGTTGGCTCCCTTGCGGAATCAGACACAGGTGATCTCCGAAACATCCCTTCCCAGTGATCCACCTGCGTCAATCGGTATGAGAGGGTCCCGTGACGCCTCTTCCAGCCCAATCCTCCATAACGGGTCTTACCGCCGCAATGACGGCGTGCCCAGCGCTCGGTTGCCCGAGTCGTTCCCTCCACTCCCCTATGATGACCTGGCGGAGTTGGGATTTCCGGTCATCGATTTCTCGAATCTCGGGGCATCGACCCAACTCCTGCGCCTCCTTGCGCCACTGATACAGTGCCGCAAGGGCTCTCGCCTCCAGGTCCCACGGTGGAGTTCCGGCCAGGAGACTCGCTGCCTCAAAGGAGATCGTGCGGTACCCCCTTATGATCCTGATGGCCAGCATTCGCTGCGGTCGTCGCAGTATCGCGACGTTGCTGGCCTTCAGGGCCCCCGCCCATACCGGGCACCCGTAAAGGGCCATGGACCGCACAACCCCCGAGTAGAGTCTCCTGCAGGAGTCATCGGGTCCCTTCATGTTGGGCAGCAGCCGCGCCAAACGCACCGCGCTGCCCCAACCAACTTAGGGACCAGACCTCGGAAATGATATCCGAAGTCCCATCGGCCATCGAGGTACGAGCCCCCAGATACCTGATCGAGGGCTTGTGATGCCGATGCGAGTGCCTACCTACCGTGAGGCTAGATCCTCAGGCGGCTTCCTTCCGAAGCCCGTGGAAGAACAGGGCCTCCGGACTTGTGCAGAGCCACTCGAGGACCCAGCCGCCGGATACGCTCAACGACTTGGGCAACCCCGGCCGTGGCCCTCAGGGTTGCCTCGTGGTGCGTCTTGCCGCAGCGCCGTCACGAGTGTGTCGTCCGCGTAGCACACGACGGCGACACCCATCCAAGAAGGCACCACGCAAGCACCCCCAGTCGTAGCGATGTTCCACAAGAGTGGCCCCTAACACCGACCCCTGCGGAACACCGCACGACATTTCACGCCTACCGAGACCGGTCCCTACTGGGGTAGACGGACGGCTCTCTCCGACAAATATGCCCCGACTATGCGGCGGAGTAGAGTAGGCACTTCGTGATACACGAGCGCCTCCCCTGATGCAGCTCCAGGGCATAGTGTTGAACGCGTTGGCGATGTCCAAGGACACCGCCAACACCCACTTCACCCCGGGAGACTGCTTCCTCCGCCAGAGCCTTCACGCGCATGATCGCATCCACGTGTGGAGCGCCCCTGACGGAAAACCGTACTGGTTGTCCCGCCAGATCCGGGCCCAACCATTCACGAGATGCTTGACGAGGCGCCTTTGCAATCACTCTTTCAAAGAGCTTGCCACACCTCGTCAAGCAACACTATGGGCCGGTAGGCGGACGGTGAGTCCGCCGGGTCGCCCCTCCTTTCGGATGAGGACCAGTTTCCCCGTCCCTCCACAATTTTGGAAACTGGCCCCGCTCGAGGCATGCGCTGAAGAACCCTCGCAGTCGGGGCTCGCAGAGCCTCGTCGACTAAGGCCAGGACCCACGCTCGGCCAGGAATGCCATCGGGTCCCGGGGCGGTGTTTTTGGCTTTAAGCCGTAACACCGCCGCCCCTTAGTTCCCACCCCAGTGACCTCAGGCACGTCGTCGTCATCCACGTTAGGCGCCTCAAGCGCCGGAGGCGGAGCCATCTGTGGCGGAGTATGCTCCACCACTCGCGTTGGGAACAGGGAGCCAACGACCCTCTCAAGCAGCTCTGGCTGAAGACACCGTGTGAGCGGCGGGGCCCATGGGCGCATCTTGCCCCTAACCATACGGTAGGGGCGTCCCCACGGATCCCGCTCCAGTGTCTCCAGCATCTCGCGGCGGGCCTCGCTCTTGGCCCGCTTTAATCGCTGCCTGAAGGGTCCTCTTGGCAACCCTGTAACCCGCTGACCAGCTCCGCCTCTCTCGCTACCCGCATCTTCGGGGCGGCGACGCCTCCTGCGGAACCTGGACCACTGGCGGCGCGCGGTCACGCAGGCTTGACGCAGCCGTGCGATCTCCGGCGACCACCAGTAGACCTGGCGCCTTGCAGTATTGGGCTGAGCCCTAGGCATCGCCGCATCGCAGACGCGGGTCATGGCCTCCCGGAACCACTGTGCTTCAGCATCGACGTCGACAGGCCTGTCCGGCGCAGGAGCCCAGGCCTGTACGATGGCGGCTTCCAGGAGGATGGTCGCGATCTAAGCGCTTGAGCGCCCAACGTGGGTTCAGGTGGTGCCGGTCTGACCGGCGCGCCATCTGCAGGGGCGGAGACGTTCAAACCGACTATATCGGTTGATCCCGAACCTGTCTCCTCCCCGTACAACGACGCGCCAGCCCTTGGACACGACGCGCTAGCGAGGGCATGCGAACGACGATGGTCCACGATCGAACTACCCTCGCCGCTCACGAACGTGGCCACGGCCCCCCCGGTTTTAGGAGAACTAGGCCGAATCTTCAGCCCAGTTCTCCAATTGCCCTGCCCCTTGGGTTCGTGCGCACGGGAACCCCAAGCCTGCGACCAGGCGTTGAAGTCCCCCCAGCACAAGAACCGGGTGGGGGCGACAGGCATCGACGACGACGGCCAGCTGAGCGAGCCATTGCTCGTACTCAGTTAGGTTTCGGTTCGGCGTGAAATAAGCGGCCACGACCGCTTATATCTCCAACTATCGCCGCTACACAGCCCCGTCCCCTTGCAAACTACTGCAAGAGGTGGAGTGCCGGCTGCTGGTACCGTGCACCAGGGCCGCCGTGCCGTCCAAGTCGGTCTCCAGGCAGGCCCGAGAAACCGATTGGACATATGGCTCGGCGATAGCGGCGATGTTGATGGACCACTGTGCCATGCTCTGGAGCAGAAGATCCTGAGCATCGGCACCGTGGCCTACGTTCACCTGGAGGATGCGGAGATGTGGATCCATCACTGGACCTTCCATCCCCCGCATCCCGCAGCGAGCTTTTGCGGCTGTCCAGCGGCCACTCTCCGTCTGGATCAGCGGCTCGGTAGGCGGAAGGTCGGCCTCCCGGCTCTCGGTCGCAGATAGGGCACAGGCCTTACCACCAACCCGGTGGTCGGCAGGCTGCCCCCCGCTGCGCACTAAAGCAACGCCAGCGGAGCGTTGCAGCCACCCGCCTTGTGACCGGGCTGGCCACAGCGGAAGCATCGGTCACCCTACGGTGGCCCCGCAGTGCAGGCACCCCTACGTGACCCAACGACAGGACACCTGAAGCACCTTGCCCGGTCGGGCCTGCAGGAGTCGTGCCTGCGCCCTCAGGAAACCTCCGACCCAGGAGGCTCCCGTCCATCGGCGACCTTCTGGGCCGCCGCCCATGGGGAAGCTGACAAACCGCTGCCCCCTGTCCACACGGGCACGAAGCGTATTGCTCGGCCCTTCACGCTGTCCAGAGGGCAGCTTCCCGTCTCCGCCACGGCGAGTCTGAGCTCGTCCGCCGTGACAGAGTCGTCCCAGGCCCGTAATGCGCACTTCTGAGCATTTTAGTGGGTCTGGACACTCGGGACGTCAGCTGCATCCAGTGCCTCCCTCAGCTCTAGCCGCTAGGGCGTCGGCTTTGGGGCCACTGGTAGCGCCGGCGACCTCGAGGAGCCGGGCTCCCGTCCGTGTGTCTTTTACACCGGACGCCCGGAATCTCGAGGGCTTTGAGGTCCACGTTGGCCTTGACTTTCGTCAAGACCTCGGCGTACCCCACGCCCCTCTCCGCTAGCCTCCGCCGTCAAAGTGATAACGACGGCCGAGGAGCGAGGGGCGCGGAGCTTCCTCGGCGCTCCCTTCGCGGCGGCGGCGCGGCGTCCCTCCTCGCCTTCTTGGCCGCTTTTTTGGCGGCCTTCCGCCTCTTTTTGTTGTCCCCGGCCACCGTCCAGCCCCGCTCCAACGAGCGCTGTGCGGTGTCAGCCGGGGCCGAGACTGGGGCTTGGGTTTGGGGCCGCCTTCCCCCTCCCTTTGCCCTTTCCGGTCTTCTGGGGGCGGGGGCGCTGATGACGGCCCAGCCACCCTAGCTGCTGGCTGGGCTGTTAGGCCCGCCTTGGCAGCGGCCGCATATGTCGCCTTTGGCGGAGCCAGAGGTGGGCGACAACGGGCGCTCTCTATTGCAGAGATGCGCCTCATAATTCGCTCCTCCATCTCCGCCACGAGTCGGACTAAGTCCGGCTCCTTAGGGGCGGACAACGCCACAGGTGCCGAAGACGTCTGGTGTGGCACCAGCGTGGGCACGAGCCTTGGCGAGATCCGCCTCGAGGCGGGCTCTCTCCCTAGCGTGGGCCTTGCTCTCGGCCACGAGGAGTCGTCCCGCCTCGATGATGGAGCGCACCGACCGCTACCAACGCCTCCTGTTCGGGACCCCTGGCTACCCCGGACGTCTGGAGCAGGCAATCGGCCACGCCGATTGCCTCCTCGATCTGGTCCACGGGGTTGCCGGTTTGCCTTCGTAGCTCAACGAGGCCAGGCACCCCACACCCCCGCTCCCCACATCAGTGGTCGACATCTCGGACTCGACCCCCTCCTGTTTACTCCGTCCAAGACCCCCATCTTCGGCTCCTCCCAGAGCCCGCGGACTGGACCGCCACCTTCTTTCGGGCCACCATGGCTTGGGGAGTCGGCCTCCGCCGCGAGCGCCTCTTGCGGCTTGTGCCGACTTTGGGGAGCCGAGGCCTCATCGCTAGAGGCCGACTCCAATTGCCTCTTCAGGCCCAGGCGAAGCGAGCGCCTTTTGCGCTTTGGAGTACCCTTCTGGTGCTGCTCCACAGCTGAGACCATAGGGGTACTCGCTCCGCTCCTCTCCGAGGCAGTGTCGGTGTTCGACACTACCTCCACGTTTCTCGCGTCCTCCGCGATAACGTCGCCGGATTTACTGCTCGGCGACGGGCAGGTTTGACATTTGGTGCTCCCCCCAGAATACGAGTGGGAGCTGCCGGAGCCGTTTGGCTCCGGGAGGGATTCCCCAGACACTGTGTGCCCGGTACCCTCCTGGGTAGATTTCTCTGTAGTTGGCCTCATGTCATTTTGTAAGTTTTACGTCCTTCGACGGGGACGCCTTCGGCACTGGACTCCCTCCAGCGACTCAGCCCCTTGCCAGGCGTCAGAACGTGGGCTTAGAGCATTTTTTATAGAGGTTTACGTCCTCGCGGATCCGAAGATCCACCGGTCCTGTCCATTCAGGATTACGGCTGGGCCGGACGGGGTCTGCACCAGACCGGGTCCGTCCGCCCCAGGGTTTTTTATAGAGGTTGCCTTCCTCGTAGCCCTCGAAGAGCCGTCATTCCTGACTGTTGCCAGTCAGGGTTACGACATGGCCGGACGGTGGTCTGCGTCAGACCAGTGTCCACCACCTCTGGACAGAGCCAGCGGCAGTGGACCCGTCCGCCCCCAGCCCGCTCTCCCCTATGCCCTCTGCCAAACAGAGGGACATGCGGAAAGCAGCCCTCCGAACAGCCCTTGACAGGCCGTTCCCACCTCGGCCGGAATTGGCCGCAGGCGGCAGCGCCTCTCCCACCTAGGGAGAGAGGCGCTGCCGTCCCCGTTGCCCAGGGTGCACCACAAGGAGGTTCCGGACCACGCACCCCAAAGATGTTTTAAACCTGACTGTGACTTTGACTACGGTGCAGTTGTATGATTATTTGCTAACTTAGCTATTAAAAATCACTGTCTTAACTTTTATCCTTACTTTCTTACACTGATTAATATCAGTAATATTATATTATAATATGATTAATATTATTAATATTATATTATTATTATTTATATTACTGTGGTCAATCGGAACTGACTTAAATTATTATTATGTACCTACTTACCTTTTTGAGACAAATAAACCTTATTATTATGATTAAACTACAATTAAAGTTAAAGATACAATTACATCACGAAACAAGCATTACAAAGACTAAAATAAAAGAGTTAAAATCACTAGAATTGGTAGATTCGCGAATGTATTTGATATAACCAATAATATGAAGCTAAAGTGTGTTATTGGAAAGCAATTGTTATTAATTGATAATAGATTTTCTGAGCTAATTTATATATTTACAATAGAAAAGAAACCTTGTTTAAAGAAGACGTAATACTGATATGACAAATAAGCTAAGAGTCTGTGAGAAGCTTTTTACAACATTATGTACTTCTCTAGTTTCGTATAATAAAGATATCTTTATCAGAAGGCTGCTATAAGCCTAACAATACCAGTTAAGTATTCTGTCACTAACTCTAAAATATTATGGGCCGAATCATTTTTTTTAAGAAGTTTTACATTTTGCCAAAACTAAGAATAGTGTTTTCTTTTTTGGCACGCTTGAGTACAAATTGCCAGACAGATTGATTAAAAATTTAATTGGTAATGTAAGCTTGCTGGCTGATTCAGTGTTTTATCTAACACAAATACACTATGTGATGAATAGTACAATTATACTGATATGGGATATGTGCTAAAATGACATAAATTTTAATCCCAAACCCGAGTAACCGCTAGGATTTTTTTTCATTTTAAATAGATCGAATATTAGATTTCAAGTAAAGAAGATAAAAAATAAAAAACTATGATAAATACGTATTTCATCAGGGTGTCAAACTTTTCCAATTTTTTTTATAATTGTAAAAATCCCTAAAGTTTACATTTCAGTCTGCAACTTTATTCAATAAATATTTATCTAAATTCTTGCTCTGTTTAACTTTGCTGAATATAATTTAATAAAGACGTGTAATAATTGATGACCTTCCTTATAACGAGAATTAAAGTTTTACCTGTTAGCAAACATGGATGCGAGTTCATCTAATGTACTGTTCAACCTTTGTTGCAAATCATGTAAAATATCGGCGGCATCTCGCTCCAACTTAGTCCCACCCATCGCTTCGAACATCTTCTCTAATTGAACTCGCAGTTGCTGGATGTTGTTCATCAATATGCATGCCTAGAAGTAAATAGAGAATATGATTTAGATTTCTTGAAGGAATACGTGATACTGAGCTATCTAGATATCCTGTAATTCTTAAAAGTAACGGCTATTAATTATTTTGATTTAGAATTAAGACCAAATTTAAAAAAGTTATATTCAAAATAGTAAAAATTATAAAATAAAAAACATACCACTCGTTCCTCCTTCAAATGCTCGGGGAATTCCTTTTTTACGATGTCAGCGTAAGCTACTAAAACTTTGACGATGGTCTTGGCGAAGCGTTTCATATATCGCTTCCAGATTTCAGGATCTGGACATTCGAGCTTGGAGACCACGTCGAAGCATTGCGTTAGTTGTGTAAACACGTCTACAACCGAGTTGCTGAAGAGTGCGTGTTTCGCTGGATTTTTGGAACTGGAATAGAAGAACAAATCAGGATTGTAGGAATTTGTATAAGCTTGCATTCTTCAATGAACGCATGAAACTTTATTAATGTCTATAATTTAAAGGTAAATATTATATAAAACCGTGATGACAAATTATCTCAACACCAAAGCAGTGATTATAAATATATCTTACTTTTAAAATGTTTTTCTTAACCACTTACCCCATCCCTTTATCTCTATTGAAGGCTCCATTTAGGTACTCAAGAGACACGTCATCATTTTCGTTGAGCCACTGCATAACGAAGGGTTCAAACCATGCTGGGTATTCTGGTACGGCGCCGCAGTACGGTGGAACATCCTTTACATAGTTCGTGTGTAGCCATTTCACCTAAAAGAATGTCATGTAAAAAATAAAAAACTTAAACGCTTAGAACCATTAGGTAGTATATTTAAGTACTTTAGTACAGTAATTCATTGTATGTATGTTATTTTATATATGTATTCCTTTGTTCTATATATACAATAGATATACTACAGTGTATCAAATTAAGATATAAATCAAAATAATTGAGAAACAATGAACCATTTATACTGTTGGATGAAGTTGATTGTGTCATGACTATTACATGACAAATTCAGACTAATCACTCCTTATAAATGTAAATACGTATATGGGAATTTTCAATTGTTTTGTACCCGTTAATTTATATGATTTAGTTAAAAATGTGTGTAGTACAATCAATTTACATTTAACAATTTAAGTACATGAATACTTTAAGATTTACGTAAGAATAAATAAGATAATATAATAAGTGTAACAAGTACTTTTTAAAACCAAGCAAACCAAACCAAACAAACCAACCAATATCCCCTTATGGCACAATTTTAGCTTCGAACTAATCATATAATGCATGTGAAATTTTGGTTGATGTATCTACATCAACCAAAAATTTCACATGCATTATATCTAAGCCATTTACTACATCTGTAGTAAATGGCTTAGAGATATCTAAAGCGATAATATCAACATTACCTTGAAATGTAAATTCATATAGGCTGAAGATTACAAAGACGATGTTGTCGTGTTCCTCTAAAGCGTACTTCATATCAACTGCGAACAATGACCACATCGTAGCCGCTGACAGCTGCAATCAGAAAAATAAAGTTCTTGTAGAACATACAAAACTCAAGACGCCTGATATGGAAGTTGATGTTATGCAAAATTCTAAATTACGAGATAGGTCTGACAATTTTCACCTAATGATGAGTTTCTTTGCAAGAATGGTTTTTGGATCAAAATGGTAATTAAATCCACCTACCTACTTCTGTTTTTTTTTATTTTTTGAGTTAATTAAAAGTAACTACAGAAACCTTACAAATAAATACACACTTTACACAATCATTATCAGTAGTACCAACACCGTTAACTATAAATTTATTTTAAAATACTGTATTAAATATTCAGTTGAAATTCTTAGTCTCCTTCAGTTACCTATCTTAGGTACGGTAAACCAAGTTTACTAATATTTTTTTATGTATGTTCATATTTTAATGATATCAATTTAAGTATAATATTTATTACAAACTTATAAACTAACGTTACAAAAATATATTACAGACGCAGGCATAAAACTATAAATTAAAACCAAAA